CCTCATTACACTTATATTAAGCTAGCAAGGCTCTTTATAAATGGGGTTTACAACATATAGGTGCATACTGTATGTACATTCTGAACATGATACTTTACATTTTGAATTGTGTCAATATAAAAAAAAATATTTTGAAAAAAATAATTTGTCGTGGATTTCTTTATTGCCATATTTATCATGACCCTGTTATTAACTATCAATGAGTAACTAGATATCTTCAGCCTATTACATGTTAAAAGGGAAGAATGTGGGAAAAAAACCCAAGATGTCAGTTTCAATGTACAGGAACTTGAAACGGGTTACAATCAATTTTGAATAACGTAGAAAAAAAATTGTTCTTAAGCTATATTTACTAATGTTTGTATACTGTTCAATGGTTATTGAGATATAATTTTAATTTTAGGGCAAGTGACCTGAAAGTTTAACTAGGAATTCAAAGTAACTTTCTGTTTTACAAGTAATCCTTTAAGTTAGTATGACACGAATTATGAGTAAACATTGATGATTTATAAAAACTTTAATCAACAACAGGAAAACCCTAAAATGATCAGTCCTAACCAATCTGACACAGGTAATATTGCGATTATGTCCTACTATTATAACTAACACTTTCATGTGACACAGGAAACGCCCAGGTATCACTTTCACACTACAGAGAGAGCTTACAGTTCATATGAAATAATAATGTTAATAAAACAAGCTATTTATGTTTCATTTTGACTGATTTATGATTCTGCACTGCGTTCAGCTTCAGTAATTATGCTATGTACTATAGGGATACAGTCAGTTTTATGAAACAACCTGCCTCACTATTTCCCGTCTTTAAGGAATACCAATTTTGCACAAAGCAAACATTTTCATTTTATGAATGTCCTAGATACAGTCTATAATACGTTATGACTATATGTACCGTCACTTCGGGTGTGTTTTAGGTGTTGATGTAATGTATGGAGAAGACCCTTGTCTCACTAACGTAGTGTGCTATGCACACAAGTAGAAATCCATCGACATTTTTGGCTTATCATTTCATTGTAGATTTCACAGATCGATATGTTTTGCTTACAGAGAATAAAAGCTTTCGTGGAATTAAGACGTTTATCTTACTTTGTTTCATGCACCTGGCGGTGCTTACCTTTTCCATGTACATTCTGTATCCGATGTGCGACAGCCGCCATAACTTATGATCTGTAATGATTTTTAACGTCGACAGTGGCGATTTTAAAATCGAATGCAGACATTTGCTTACTTGTTTCGCGTTTATCCCTTCAGAACAGTTAATGTCTTTTTGCTACCTAACCTGCGATATAGCTCGATCATTGTCGAGATATCACATTCCGATAAAGCTATTTTGTATTTTGATCTATCTTTTATTGCATAGCAACCGGATTCATTTTGCCGACGTTAAGCTTTTGCAGTGTCATTTTATGTGTTTTATATCAATGCACCAACAGCAAACATCATTATCATCATTCCGACAACAATACTATCAGTTTTATGTCCCTCGATAAAGATCGGGGGCTATATAGTGTTTCGCATGTCCCTCCGTCCTATTACGTCACGATTAATGTTTTACTTTTACAGATTTTTTTTTTTTTTTCATACCGTTAATACAAAATATGACAATACCTTGGATGAGCTCGTTTTTCAGGGTCCCATTTTCAATGTCAAGGTCATTTTTGTTAATTACAAGTCGACCGTTGCTATTTGTGTCAACAGACCAACTGTTGTTAATTCACAGACTTCAGGATTAGGAGGCATGCGTGTCTCACATTTTGGTTGTTTGTGTTTTACGTCCTATTAACAGCTATGGTCATTTAAGGACATGCCATGTTTTTGGTGGTGGAGTAAAGCCGAAGTTCTCGGAGAAAAACCACCGACCTACGGCCAGTACCTGGCAACTGCCCCACCTAGTTCTTGAACCAGCTACCCAGTGGTGGAGGGCTAGTGGTAGCAGAATGTGAGACGCCTTAACCACTTAGCCACCGCGGCCCCTCATGCATGTCTTACAAGTGTGTTTTAGTTTATCACAATGTATCATCATATTCGCTTCGTTTCTTGTCTGCATATGTTTTTAAAAAAAACCGAGACAATAATGTTATTGATCCTTTAGACAAATTGAATGTGCATGGATGCTTTCGAACTGATTCAAAGGTTAAGGTCTCGGTTTCTGATGCCTCGTGCTTTACAACAATTTACCATTTCTAACGATTTTGGTAACTTTGGCTTCTTTCAAGTTCAGGCAATATTTCAAATCCTTGTATGACGTGGAACTTACTTAATATTGTGCTGTAAACCTCTGATAAAGTTCAATCTTTCAGAGAAACACAAATAACGGATATATCCTAGCACTACCTCAACGAGTATCTACAATCTGGGACAATTAATACAGTTCCTAATGATGGGACGTTAACCCATCTCCAGTTCTCATCGAATCTGCTGCTCTGACTTCTCCTGGCTACCACTCCTAAAAACATCGAAAACAATACCAGATGACAAACGAAAATTCTCAAAATACAGTAGCTTTGCCTGCCGTCAACCGGATGACATCGCTGTTAGGGGCTATTGTCAAGAGATCCGGGTTTTTAATTTACCCAGTCTTGAAGTTTTATCGAGTGAAATATTACTTAGTTTTGGCGAAGTAACAATGGAATGACAGGATCATAGTGTACTCGCTCCACGCTTAGGTAAGCCATCTTTTACAAACTGACAGTGGATAGGGAATCGACGTGATCGTTTATCAAAGACTGAAGACTTAGCACGAAGTCCAGTTTATCCCCTTGTTTAATACTTCCCTGATGATATCAGAACGATGATATGTATACCTTCCTCAATGGATCAATGGCTAAGGAATGATTCAAAATATATCTGAGCGAAAACGTTTTAAGTCTGGACAGAAATCTTTCGAACAAATTGTATTCAACATTGTGTAAAACGGTTGAATCTTGCTTGCACAACCCGATGAGTCATAGAGAGGCACCGAAAAACAACATTTAAAAATCTTCAATTTGATATTATTTTTCAAATATTTTCGAGATGTAGAAGACCTCAGCTTACACTATTTGTGTATAGGTTAATTAATATGTAGAAATAGTAACCCTGTCCTGCCCCGTCAGTAAATATTCATTCCATCGTCAGATGCACAGATAAACAGTTAAGTTTAGTTTGAAGTTAACCGTGTCTCAAAATCTAAACGCAAAGGTACAGTAAATTGGGATATTTTGGCTGTTGCTGTATATTTGACACTTGTTTACAAGCGTTAACAGTCAACGTACTTAATTAAAAGAAGTCCCAACAAAGTGTTTGTTTTCGATTTAATAAATTTGATATACCATTAATATGCAATTGAGAGTTTTAGACTGTCAGGTGACGATTTAGGATTTCGTTAATATAATTATATTTTTTTACTTCCAGGGAGTGAATTTCACCAAAGTTTGAATCGCTATCTTTAATAAGGAAGTATCTTAAACATATATATACCATTTTAGCAAATATAGATTATTTTTTCCTGAACAGCTAATATTAAGTGGCATTCCACACACCTGCCCGTCTGTTTCAGATGTAGTTTAGACCAAGCATCACTGATGAGTCCTAGACGGCCGAAACAGCTGTATGATGCAATGCAATTCATTTTCCTGCATACTTTATCAATTACCGAATGTTAAAGGTGTCATTACCTGGGAGTGTGTGTAGGGTTCAACTTACAGCAATAGATAGAGTCCTTTCAGGATCGTGTTGTCGTGAAGAAAAAAGAAATGAAAGATCTTTTTACAGGTTTTTGGAGAGAAAAAAAAATGTTTACTCATAAATATAATCACTGGGAGGGAATGTAGTATTTGATAATATGAGGATTACCTTCAATAAAATGATATGGTCGATTTTCTGTAACCATCCGAAACAACTCTAGTATTCAGTGAATTAATGATTTCTCATTTATCACGAAATCTGCTTTCACTCTATCAAATGTAATCTTAATTCCTTCCATTCTTTAACGATATGTTTTTGGCGACATTTCCCGTATCAATGACAAAAGGCAATATATGTGTGAAGCAACTTTGTGAGAGCAACTTCGCGTTCAGAGTTCGTGATGGAAGTTTTACCTATAAAACCACAGAAAGGCAGAGTCAGAAAACGATATTCCATCGTGCATACTAACGTTTCAAACTTTACACATGATATACACAGTTCTCGTAATTATTCCCGATTACTACGTCAAAAATGGTCTCTTTCCGTCGCGTTTGTATTCTTTATCGTTCAGTATGTACATGTGCTCGACAAACATTAAATGTGAACGACTTGCGCTGAACATACATTTTGTGAAGCGTTGGTACGGTATAATCACATGTCTATCACAAATGTACAGTATTCCAATCTGACGATACTAACGTGACTTCAACGGTATAATAATAATATATAATACATACGTAGATACTAGATTACAGTCATGCTTTCATTGTTACTCATTATGTGTTTTCATTGATATTTTTAAAATACACTTAACATAGCTAACTTGTTTTAATTGAGTAAGAATATTCAGGATCACGTTTAGCAAACTTGCTTGCGTAGATCTGTTGTATAGGGCAACGAGTGCAGCATTCACTAGTAATGCTACAGACACACAGTTAGAAATCCCATAGGCTACCAGTAGAAATCTTGAATAGATATAAAATTCCCATAAATAGACAATAATAATACTTTTTACGACACACACCAGCTAAGTATAAAGCGTACATAAACTGTATTTACATTGATTTTCCTGGTATCCAAGTGGCAATGTTGTTCTTTCCACTACCGGTAAAGTCCCATCCCATAATACTACTTAAAGTACTTGGTATGAGTGGTGGTTGTTTAAAGATTTATCAAACTTTATATTCAAATGAAATACGATATTTTTCTGTCGGTGTTATTTACATTTTATATCCTACTATTCATAAGGACTTGTAGCAATAGTCACCACGTGACCGCATTGATAACGTTAGCAGACGAAACGAGATACACGCCATTCGCTGTATAGCAGACGACACCTGACCGTGGATCGAACGACTCGTATGCTTTTGTCGATCAACCTTGTTTGTATATTTTCAAAGGAGAAAAAGTACTTTACCACTCAAGGTTAATTTTTTTATGAATTAATATACTATCAAGTCGGTAACACGCGGATATTCACATACCATTCAAGAACATGGTTTTGCTCTTGACCTTTGAATTGTGTCCAGGGACAAAATCAGGAGCCTTTATGTTCCCATAGAAATTTTCGGTTTCTCATACTGAAGCAGATGGAAACTGATCGGAATATTGTTGGGAAATTTTTCCCAGGATCACGTCCTAAACCATCCCTAAGGCCACTGAGGCACAACGTTCGTTCTAAGAAACGACCAAAGACGTTCCCTGATGCCACAGATTCCGACGGAAATATTTCCTCTAGCCAGCATGATGACATGCAGCTGGACACAGCTCGAATCAGTTTGGAAAGGATACGATCGGTAAGTTTATCCTTTGGCTAAACTTTTGTCACAAGCGGTGATTTTTATTATCTTGTCATAGGCCAGTTGCCATTATGTCCCTTCTGAATTTCATCAAGACATCGGTTATCTGTATATTTTGGAAATTGTTAGTTCACGTGCTCGAATTATTTTTTAGAAGATTTATTTTGTTTTCCCCAAAAAACTGTACATGATATATGATATTAAATAAATGATATTTTATGTATAATCAATGTTATCTTCTGTATTACTATCCGCCGTTATGAAAGTGTACATAGCCAAGCTTTCTCTGTCATACTTTGGTGGAATGATCGTGTCCAACCTAATGTTATTTGGAACGCATACCCATTTCTAAATGTACCACATTACGTCAAGTACGTAATGGAGAGGAAAGGATATTTTATGATAAAACATCAGTTTTAACGATTTCTGAAAATGTTCAGCTGCAGACATATACTAAAATGCATGTATTTTTTAACGACTATAGGAAAGATCAGAAATGAAATCTGTGAATTGAATGGAATAAAAGGGCAGTTCAATTAGTATCTGAGAATGTAACAAGTAGAACAGTATTCTATTTAAATAAAGTCGTGATGTTATGACTAACAGACGAGGCACTTCCATGTTCCTCCATATGTAATAAGCTTTCTTAATATGCATTTTTACTGCTATCATATACATGTATGCATAACACCGACAACCTCATGAGCAAAAGTATTCACCGTTTACGTATATCAAAAGAAATGGGATTTCTAAAGAGACTTTTATACAACATATGGATGCATTTTCACATGTTACAGCTGTATACATACGTACATAAGAGTTTAATTCATTTGGTATTCCATACATGGCCACTGAGACGTCCTTGAAATCGAACTCATGTCCGTCAGAGAAAATTAAAAAACATTCTTTTATTATATTAGAATTTTCCGGAGCGTTTAATTCAAATACTCTTACACTTCATTGTAAATTAGTTTGCACTATTTTGTATCAATTTATTTAAATCACATATTTTGATGTATAATGTGATATGAAGTAATATAATGTAATATAATGTAATGCTAGTTATGTGACGTACTATAATGTAATACTAGTTATGTGACGTTATATAATGTAATCTAATGCAATACTAGTTATGTGACGTGATACTAGTTATGTAACGTGACGTATTACCAGTAATATAATGTAACACTAGTTATTTGACGTTATATAATGTAATATAATGTAATACTAGTTATGTGACGTGATATAATGTAATATAATGTAATACTAGTTATGTGACGTTATATAATGTAATCTAATGCAATACTAGTTATGTGACGTGATACGATGTAGTACCAGTAATATAATGTTATACGATGTGATCAAATATTTTTTTAAATTTAATAATTGACAATAACTAAAACAGATTTTGTAGTAGCGGTAAGATTCGACAGGTTTCTTAGAACAACAATTGCTTTTAAAATTGAATATGATGATTGAGTATAATATGCAGAATGTGCAGCAGTTTATATCACTATGTATGTATAAGTTATTCACATGGTGTTTTAACTTTTAACTGATGTTGGTTAAATGGCAACCATGAAAGTTTCACCATAAACAAAGGGAGGGGGGGGGGGGGGGGGTCATTTAAATCACACTATGCATGTGTAATCGATCAAATGTACCTGATAACATTTAGTTTCATGGTTTCATGATACAACATAATGTAAAGTAAGGTATCCTGTATTCATTAAAAAATCATTATGAACGAGTAATGAGAGATGAATGTTCGAATTGTCAATAAAACATATCCAGGAACAACGAATTACAATACGGTAGAGCACCGGTTGTTATTAAGGTGGCTGGCTTCTAGTTAGAGATCACATAACATATGTGGTTGCATGGAGTTTATTTGCAAATGCATTAACGCGTACCTTGTTCACAGCTAGAAATGATTAAAACTAGTGCATTCGTGACCAGGAAATCGTTGTATATTATGTTACTATTTGTCTAGTTGTCATTGGATTCAGGATGTGGTCGTTTTTTTAAATTGATCTGATAATTTTATGAATTAAATTACGTCAATCTGTAGACAAGCAAACATTCGCCAATCTCACGTCTAAATTGTACGTGTAATTGGCACACGAAATTAATAGGAATGAAATTAGCTTTTACTGTTGTCTGGAATTTTATCTGAAGTGATACTGGGTATCTTTCGTTACAGGGTATCTCATGCTTGAACAAACTAACCAGCAATGATATATATAGAGAGTAATACATGTCTTTTTCCATATCACACCCAGTATCAACCCGAGACTCCAATATCAGCCCGAGGCCGAAGGCATGTTTGATTCTGTTTATTACATACTAACTAATGAAATACGGATAGATCTACTATCTTATTAGATCTATTTTTCTTTTGAAAGATGGGAAAAATTAAAAGTGTTCCAAAAAAATAGTGAAACTGGTTTTGCGGGCTGATACGGGAAGCGCTGATACGGGTTTTGGGGTGTGTGATACGGCGAGGGCTGATACGGGTTTTGGGGTGTGATACGGGTTTTGGGGTGTGATACGGGTTGTGGGGTGTGAAACGGGAAGCGCTGATACATGTTTTGGGGTGTGATACGGGTTTTGGGGTGTGATACGGCGGGGGCGGTTACGGGGGTTGGGGGGGGGTACGGGGTTTTGGGGGGGGTTACGCGGGGGGTGGTACGGGGTTGGGGGGGTGTACGGGTTTTGGGGTGGGATACGGGGTTTGGGTTGTGATACGGCGAGGGTTGATACGGGTTGTGGGTTGTGATACGGCGAGGGCTGATACGGGCTTTGGGGTGTGATACGGTGGGGGCTGATACGGGTTTTGGGGGGTGATACAGCGAGGGCTGATGCGGGTTTTGGGTTGTGATTCGGCGAGGGCTGATACGGGATTTGGGGTGTGATACGTGTTTTGGGGTGTGAGATACGGCGGGGGCTGATGCGGGGTTTGGGGGGTGGTACGGGGGTTGGGGGGTGATACGGGTTTTGGGGTGTGATACGGCGAGGGCTGATACGGGTTGTGGGGTGTGATACGGGTTTTTGGGTGTGATACGGGTTTTGGGGTGTGATACGGCGAGGGCTGATATGAGTTATAGCAACTGTGTCGTATCGCATATACAAAACAAAACGTATTTATTGGTAAGTATGTAATAAAATGTTATACAATTGATATAAAATACATAGTCGCCTCCCGTTGCTCGTATGCGTCTACTGTCTATGTATTGCCACACGTTCCATATTCTACCTTCAGGAAGGCATGCTCATGTTGTACAAACTAACCCTGGTTGCCAACGTTGAATATATATTCTTATGAATATCAAATGACACGTGACCTTAAAACGTAACGGGACAAATAAATGATTAACTCGGGTCATTAATCAGATAGGCTGTAAAGGGAACCCAACAGGTGGTATTTGGTCACTCGGCCGTGAGCAATTACCCTTTGTTGTGTTATTTTCGTAGCGTGCTGTGTCATACAGAACCATAAGTTGGACACTAATTGTCAATACAACGCTATCACATTTCAAAGCTGTACCCAATATCCAGATAACAGCCATGCTAACTTATCCTATTCACGTAAGAATACATACCGTGTTGCAGTTTTATTTATTTCCTTTCCAAAATAAGGTCATAATAAAAAACATGAAAAAAGCGAATACAAAAGTATATATACCTAGCCATAATGGAATTCAAAGTCATTGAAACTAGGACAATAAGTTAATTAAGGAGATATACATAGAGACCAATGGAAATGATCAGGAGAATAAGACCAGTTGTCCGGGAAGGAGAATCGTCTTCTGCTTCGAAATGCATTCCATTTAAATCTAAGTCAAATTCAAGTAATGTCATATTCTCAAAATGCGAACCGAAGCAGCGGCAGTTATCGCACATACAAGGCCTTGGTCAAATCCAAGTGATGCCACATGTTAAACTAAGAACCGAAACAATGACAATTAATGCAAAAGGTACTAGTGATGACTTTGAAATTTGCCCATAGCCTACATCAACCTCCATTTCTCGAGACCCTGTGTTGTCATTTTCAACATTCGACATCCATTTTTAAATATATATACATGTATTTTAGTTTTAAGAATGACAATGTAGACTTTAAAAATATATGAATGGATAAACCCCCAATAAGAACAAATATTATAATCAGAAAGAATTTTTCAGTGATCGTCGCTGCCATGTTCTGATTACAAGTCATTTTTCTTTTTTACAAACAGTCGATGTTTTAATTGATAAAATGTGTACAAATTTAAACAAAATGTATTTGATATGGGTTATACACCACATAACAAGGGATGTGAACGGATAGGTTGTTCGTTTTGTTCCAGTCCCCATTTTCGCACTTTTCCTGAATTTTCCTAACATACATAGCTTGAACAGTGTTTTCTCTGGTAGAGAAACATGGAATAGAACATACTCGCGAGCTTAACCTAATAAGGCATTAACGTTTCTCAAGGTCATTTTTTCTTTGGCAGGTTACGAAACAATTAAAATAGGATATTTAGTGAAAATGTGGTTTTCGGTGTCTTGATAAGATTTGCTTACTCATGAAAGGATATTGTTTCCCGCTGAGTTGGTTTCCATTTTACAAACTATATCAAATACTACATGTTTGAATTGTCTATCAAAGTTGTTTGCTGGTCGTTTTATGTCAGGAGCCTGCAGCTTTCATCACTATACCCCATTGTTATCTAATAACCTAATGGTTGACTGGTACATCATTTTGAGTATTATTTTTTAAAGATGAAAGGGAAGAAATACCCCTTGTGTTGTACGGGTGATATTAACCACGCCATAGATCAAATAATAACTGTATGGTGCATTACATAACAGGTCGGCAGGATTTCCGTCCCAGTGACGTATAATCGATTTGAATATAATTATGTGTGAATAACTTTTAAAAAGAGTAAAAAGTGAATTGAATATACATTTTGTTATAATCTTTATAAAATGGATATTCACACTGCAAAACAATT